GTTCTACAGAAAGATACTGAGAATACTATGAATGGAATATTCAGAAACATGGAAATTTAGTTCGATACAAAAAATGTCGAACTGTTATGTAATATCAATCCTCCTATATGACAAATGAATACTGCATAAGATCCTGACAAGAAGTGATTTGCGGCAAAATGGATGTGGTTCTGACAGAAATGTGGTTCTATACTGAGAATACTATGAATGGAATATTCAGAAACATGGAAATTTAGTTCGATACAAAAAAGTGTCGAACTGTTATGTAATATCAATCCTCCTATATGACAATGAATACTGCATAAGATCCTGACAAGAAGTGATTTGCTGCAAAATGGATGTGGTTCTGAAAAGATACTGAGAATACTATGAATGGAATATTCAGAAACATGGAAATTTAGTTCGATACAAAAAGTGTCGAACTGTTATTGAATATCAATCCTCCTATATGACAATGAATACTGCATAAGATCCTGACAAGAAGTGATTTGCGGCAAAATGGATGTGGTTCTACAGAAAGATACTGAGAATACTATGAATGGAATATTCAGAAACATGGAAATTTAGATCGATACAAAAAAGTGTCGAACTGTTATGTAATATCAATCCTCCTATATGACAATGAATACTGCATAAGATCCTGACAAGAAGTGATTTGCGGCAACATGGATGTGGTTCTAAAGAAAGATACTGAGAATACTATGAATGGAATATTCAGAAACATGGAAATTTAGTTCGATACAAAAAAGTGTCGAACTGTTATGTAATATCAATCCTCCTATATGACAATGAATACTGCATAAAAGATCCTGACAATCCTCCTAAGAAGTGATTTGCGGCAAAATGGATGTGGTTCTACAGAAATACTGAGAATACTATGAATGGAATATTCAGAAACATGGAAATTTAGTTCGATACAAAAAAGTGTCGAACTGTTATGTAATATCAATCCTCCTATATGACAATGAATACTGCATAAGATCCTGACAAGAAGTGATTTGCGGCAAAATGGATGTGGTTCTACAGAAAGATACTGAGAATGCTATGAATGGAATATTCAGAAACATGGAAATTTAGTTCGATACAAAAAAGTGTCGAACTGTTATGTAATATCAATCCTCCTATATGACAATGAATACTGCATAAGATCCTGACAAGAAGTGATTTGCGGCAAAATGGATGTGGTTCTACAGAAAGATACTGAGAATACTATGAATGGAATATTCAGAAACATGGAAATTTAGTTCGATACAAAAAAGTGTCGAACTGTTATGTAATATCAATCCTCCTATATGACAATGAATACTGCATAAGATCCTGACAAGAAGTGATTTGCGGTAACATGCATGTGGTTCTACAGAAAGATACTGAGAATACTATGAATGGAATATTCAGAAACATGGAAATTTAGTTCGACACAAAAAAGTGTCGAACTGTTATGTAATATCAATCCTCCTATATGACAATGAATACTGCATAAGATCCTGACAAGAAGTGATTTGCGGCAACATGGATGTGGTTCTACAGAAAGATACTGAGAATACTATGAATGGAATATTCAGAAACATGGAAATTTAGTTCGATACAAAAAAGTGTCGAACTGTTATGTAATATCAATCCTCCTATATGACAATGAATACTGCATAAGATCCTGACAAGAAGTGATTTGCGGTAACATGCATGTGGTTCTACAGAAAGATACTGAGAATACTATGAATGGAATATTCAGAAACATGGAAATTTAGTTCGATACAAAAAAGTGTCGAACTGTTATGTAATATCAATCCTCCTATATGACAATGAATACTGCATAAGATCCTGACAAGAAGTGATTTGCGGTAACATAGATGTGGTTCTACAGAAAGATACTGAGAATACTATGAATGGAATATTCAGAAACATGGAAATTTAGTTCGACACAAAAAAGTGTCGAACTGTTATGTAATATCAATCCTCTTATATGGCAGTGAATCTGGATAATCAATCTCTTCACAGAAGAGGAAATAAAGCCGAATGAAACAGAATAATGAATGTTGAGAATACCAATGTAGTGCGTGAGCAACAAAGTACTCTTAAGGAAAATGGATAAAAAAAAATATACTCCGTTTAGGACAATGAGGCAGATAGACTTGGAGATGTGAATCTTACAAGACAAATCGAATGTAAATGGGGCAGGAGAACACAGTAATACTTGACGAGCTTCCGTAAATGGATGCTGTAACGAGGGATAGGCGACTAACCCAAGGGACAAATGTTGCTAAGAGCTCAATGGCACGAACAAGAAGACGAAAGACGACACATCGACGTTGGGTAAATGTAAATAGAATGTTCTCAAATACAACTTCATGAAAAAAAATTAATTCACGTCACAGTGGAGTAATGAATGGCGGATCAGGGATTCCACTCGAGTTCATTACATTTATTTACATGTAGGAAAAGATATAAGTAAATAACAAGACATATTTGGCCTTGCTTGGCAACTAGTCTAAGAGAAGGAAAACTCAGAATTAAAACCAGCCTGGAGAAGGTTGGGCCCCGTCGGACTCTCTGGTCCAAGATACGCCACTGTGGCTACGGCTGCAGCAGGTGTGGTTCACCTACGACTGATCGTGAGAAAAACACACACATATCGACAACTATTATTTTGACCAATTTGAACTAATATCCAGAAGTTAAACTACTAATACGCTAACAATTGAACTAGAACAGCTGTAGAAAGCACGGAAGAAACCGCCGTGATGATGGATACAACTGTTTAAGCTGGACTAGAAAGAACCGCAGTATTAACTCCTCTTTGGCACCAAGACTATATGAATTTAAGCGCAATACTAGATTGTTGGATAGGTCTCATCATTTTACAGTTGAAATGGTTAGATAAAGCCGTATATGTTTACAGTTTATTCCTTCGCTCTTTTTGCTTGTAGCCCTCCCTTAAGACTTCTTACTTCCCAGACAACTTTGATCTTCAAGAATTTAAATGCAATGTCAGCCGTTATCTTCTGTCTTCTTAAATCCTGTTTTTCTTTTTATTTGTTCTTCCTCCTTAATAATGTTTTTCTCATTTTCTCTCACACTCAGTAACTCCATGTGTCTTAGTGGCTTTATTACCTTGCTTGGTGTGAAATGATTAAAAGGTATACATTATACAACATGAGAAAAAAAGAGTTTAAATCAGTCAGTAATGAAGGAAAGTCTTACCGCTTGAACTTATGATACATGGAAATTTTATCATGAAAAATTATACTTATGAATTGTCCAAAAGACCCTATGCTTAGAACGAGACTTGAACGTGAATATTTGAAAGAAGTCGATGTAATAATCGTTTTACATTTTTACTCATTGCGCGGGAAAATAAATCTCGTTTAATGGTGGTAAAAGCGAGTTTTTAAATGATCGTAGTTTTAAAAGGCAAATCGCATTCATAGAAATGGAGCTATGATAAAAACTTGATGGGAATTTAATCGTAATTGTCAAGACGCCCTTTGTTTTTTAGTTGATCTATTGCTATCATATTTTTTAATGATATCTTAATGTGACCATTTTATGTGTAGTGAAACTTTTCCTACAAACAAATAACCCTTTGCTCTCAAAGAAATGAAAAAAAAGTGATAAATTTCTCGGCATTTAAATGGTTTGTAATATAAATTTCAGTAATGACGTTTATAACAGTTTATGTTGGAAGGAGAATGAAATTCGGTCAAATTAAATTAACATAAATCGTGCGAAATGAGAGTTAGGAAGCTGATTAAAAGACGAGCAGGGAATTAGGAAAAAAGAAATTAGAGTGAGAGAGATAAAGAGTATGGGCGAAGTGAATATTAGACAGAGGGGGAGCGAGCGAGCGAGAGAGAAAGGGGGGTGGAGACAGATAAATAGAAAGAGGTGGGTGGATATAGATCAACAGACTGAGAGAGACAGACAAGCAGATAGATAAACAGACTGAGAAAAGATAGATTTAGCATAAAATGGAGACATTATTATTCATACATAGATATATGCATACATGCATAAATACGTGCATACATATGTTCACACACACACACACACACACACATATATATATATATATATATATATATATATATATATATATATATATATATATATATATATAGTTTATGCAAAACTAGGTAATCCGTATGGGTAGACCAAGGAGGATGATATCCGAGAGCTCAATGTAAATTCAGAGCAAATCTGTTTTTATTCAAACAATATATATATATATATATATATATATATATATATATATATATAAATGAACATGTTGTTTCATGCTAGACGCAATCGTCAGACCACAGGTGGCCTTACGATAGCGTCTGGCATGAAACAGACTGTCGCCTATAAGTGTTGACTTCAATGTTCGCTTTTATATTTACACACGCTCTATCTCTGATATTGAGCACTTTATCCCATAAATATAGCACACCCTAAGAGTATATTTCTTCATATATATATATATATACGAACCTTACATACAATATATAAACAGTGAGAAAAATCTAATTAAAGGAAACTATCCCGTTGTGTTCCTATTTTGTTGAATAAGATTTCGCGAATATTTAGGAAGGATGACGAAAATACATAAATAAACGGAGCGGCTACTCAAATATAGTCATTCACTAAAAATAATGTTTAAGTAATAATAATATTAATAATTGTGTGTGTGTGTGTGTGCATTTCTAACGATATAATGAAATTAGGGTTTTCGAGCAAATCTCAATGAGAGGATATTCATTCTTTAAAGAGGTTAATTCAACCATAATGTTATGCGACGCAATCTGTGTTCGAGCGGCCGGAATTAAACCCCTGGATCATACAGTGTGTGTTTGTACCTTGTGGTTGATCTGTAGCCTAGTGAAATATCCGAATTTCTTTCACACTACAACTGCTTATTATCCGCGATAATTTACTTCCTTCACCATAATTACAATTAACCAGGCAATAGTGGCGAAATGTTATGAAGTGATAATTCCAGCACAAGATTTACTGATATTGAGAGCCTATTGATATAGAGAGATATATCGTGAGAGGAATAGATAGATAGATAGATAGATAGATAGATAGATAGATAGATAGATAGATAGGGAAAGGGGGAGAGATATGAACAAAATGATACAAAAAGAGAGAGTGAAAGTGATGAGTTTGATGCATGCAAGTTTATTCTTACATATATATATATATATATATATGCAAGTTTATTCTTACATATATATTTATATATATATATATATATATATATATATATATATATATATATATGTATGTATGTTTGTATGTATGTGTGTGTGTGTGTGTAAAAGACAATGGGAAAACTATAATATTAGCCGACGCGTTTCGTCCAATGTGGACTTTTTCAAGCAAAAACAGAAATGAATTTCTTAAAACAAAGTAACTAACAATAAGAAAACTAAATGTCCTTAGCAACTGGACATTTTGTTTTGTTATTATTAGTTACTTTGTTTTAAGAAATCCATTTCGTTTTTCCCTTGAAAAAGTCCACATTGGACGAAACGCGTCGGCTAATATTATAGTTTTCCTATTGTCTTTTACATTGAAAATATTGTCTTTTTCTACAGGCTAACTCTGAGAAAATTTTCATATATATATATATATGTGTGTGTGTGTGTGTGTGTGTGTGTGTGTGTGTGTGTGTGTGTGTGTGTGTGTGTGAAGAGAGAAAGAGAAGGAAAGGTTGAGAGGGAGGGTGATTCATGTGTATATGTCTTTGTGCGTATATGTAATATCTCTATCGTAGTTTGCGCATATCTCTGTGTTTGCATATCTCTATGACATATATCTTACATGTCTATAAATTTTAGTATGAGACAGACTTGGAATCAAAATAGATAGATAGATAGATAGATAGATAGATAGATAGATAGATAGATAGAAAATGAACTGAGATTGATAAATAGGTAGATATGAACACACCGAAGCAGATAGATAGAGAGATAGATATTTAGGAACTGAGTGATATATATATATATATATATATATATATATATATATATATAAAAAAAATTTGTATACTGAGAACTTAGGCTAAATAAGAGCTGGTCAAAGGCTTAAGATCATACATAAAATAAGTCCTAAACAGAGTAGGAAATGCCCAACATTTCAGTAGTGAGTTTCATGGCCGTCGTTATGAATAACTTCAAAAATTCGTTCTAGAATGGTCGATATAGCCGTAGATAGATAGATAGATAGATAGATATAAACAGCCTGAGGCATCGTGATAGACTTAAATCGGCTAACACAGATAGATAGATAGATAGATAGATAGATAGATAGATAGATAGATAGATAGATAGATAGATAGATATACATTGTGTTCTATAGCACAGTAAATAATATTCATCTTTGCTTCTTTGCTTTGAACAGACTGCATCAGATAGATAGATAGATAGATAGATAGATAGATAGATAGATATGCATAGATAGATAGATATGCATTGTGTTCTATAGCACAGTAAATAATATTCATCTTTGCTTTGAACAGACTGTATCAGATAGATAGATAGATAGATAGATAGATAGATAGATAGATAGATAGATAGATAGAAACAATTTCTAAGGAGGTTCACCGGATATTTCTGACAGAGGAAAAATGCGTAATAACTTGAGTAAAATAAACTAAACGACATAAGTGAACAATAAATGTGTCAACATTTCAAAATGAACGCAAAACTAATTGATATTTCGTCAATTCCCAATTGCGATCGCAAAATGCTGTTAAATAAACGCCAGGACAGTTATGATCGATAATAAATCGTTATTTTCTCTCCGATGAGCCAGCAATTCGAACAATGACCGTTTATTAGTGGCGTTAAAGTATTTAGGAACTGTGTCTGATGGGTAATTTCTTTAATATGACCAGGTGACGTGATAGAAAAAAGGAGAAATTATCTAGTAATAAATGGAGAGTGTGGTCGATGTACGTCGTACATTCAAGAAATTCAAAGAAAATTACTTGTACTTAAAGGAGAAAGAATTCTTCCTCGCTCTTTACCGTGTTCCTTGCCTTTACCAATTATGACTTCCTGTCCCTCCTCGTCTACTTTTATGGCTCGTGAACTCTGAACTCCTAGATAAGCATGATTTTCTTGGAAAAAGATTTTAGATTAATCCAGAACTTATATTATCAGCAACCCGCCGGCGTATGGAAAGACGCGAAAGACTAAGATATAACTTCTCGCCGGACTCATCCAAACTCTACAGCAAAGCGATCCTAAAAGATCTAGAATTCCTATCATGATTTCTGTATGTCGGGCAGAATCTTAAAATCAGATATTAAGATGACGAAGAGTCTGTAGCTGGTACCGAAAAGAAAATACAGAAATTGTGTGAAATGAAAGAGAGAAGAAACGACTAACAATCAACTGTAACACTTAATGTATGATTGCAATCAAGATGGACTAAGCAAAGTTTTACGAAAGGGGAGCATTTTGAATGTTGACCTGTTATATAATATTAGTTCGATTATATGGCAGTGAATTCGGGATAATCTTGTTACAGATAAAGAAAAAACCTTTCTGTGACACGCTAGGGTTATTATTATTTTTTTTTTCTTGTCAGAGTCAATCCTTCAAATCTACAAATCTACCATTCATCTTTGCATTGAATACTGTTGCCATATATGGTCTGGTGTCCCCGCTGTTCATCTTAATGTTCTCCTAAAATCCTAAAAGTGCAAAGTGATAGATCCTGGTCTGTCATCTTGATTACAGTCACTTTCTCTCAGTCATGATGTGGCTTTCCTCTGTCTTTTCTAACGAATTACTTTCACTGGTAACCCCACCACATGAATTTAAGCGTGCTACTAGGTTGGCATCTTGGTCCCATTATTTCACTGTCGAAAATGTAACCGCCTCTTCTACTCCAAAAGCTTCTTCTCCCTCACTTCCCAACAGTGAAACTCCTTTCCTCTTACTTGGTTCTCTGATAGCTACAATCGTCAAATATTTAAAGGTAATGTCAATCGATATGTTCTAATGCCTTGATCTTGAACCCCGTTCTTCTCTTTATCCTTTCTTCAAATACCCCTTTTTACTTTTGCTCTCACTCTCTGTAACCCATTGCGTGGTAGTGGCACTCCCGCCTTGCTCGGAATGAAATGCTTAAAACAATTATCTTCGATCATACAAATGCTTGATTTCTCGTTGCTTTCTATAAAGTTTTGAATTTAGAGCTTTCCTTCTCTTAGGCTGGTTTCTGTTTCCTAAGTTTAATCTAATCCCGAATAGTGAGCACCTAGTAAGGGTCTAACTAACTACACAGGAGAAATAGAAGTTGAACAAAATAAAGGTTTTATTTAGGGATACATATGCTCAAACTTTAGGGCGTTTAAAAACGCAAATATTGAGCCAAAACCCTGATCATATATCTAAATAGCCTAATCAGGTCTAGAATGTCATAGGAATGTCATGCAGGGCGTCAAAATCGTCTGGCACTTCGAGATGGTAATGATTGACAATCTTGTCTCGTTAGATCAATTACGACTGAGTAGTGAGTTCGATCCACATTAATTGCCCCATAAGTATTGTTAAATAATAGTTTCAGGCTATTAATTTTAGTGACAGAGTATTTTGGCTCAGATCTTCTGAGGCTGACCGTTATGGTCAGATGGTAGACAAAATAGAGATCTCAATTTTGATTGGCTGAACCGTAAGTGGGAATGTTAGAGAGATAGAAAGTGTTTTCAAAGAGTTAAGTTTACTCGTCGAAGAATGCAGACGTTTAAATTTCGTGTGTGGAAACTGCTCCCCAATGGGAGGGATAGCAACCTCACTGGCTAGTTAAAAATGTACCCGTCGATGTATTATTCCTTTTTGCTGAAGTTCTCATTTTACCTCCGAACAAACCAACTAGCGGTCACCCAGCCGACAAAAGAAAGAGACGAACATAACTTTATTATGATCGCCTCAAAACAGTCAAAAAAGACCTCCCTAGAAGAGAGGGGGTATATAACACTATCATTTGACAGTCGTCACCAGGTGCCATAACAAACACACGCACGCACACAGTATCGAATGAAGTAGGTAATACATTCAAAATGCGTTAAAAATTATTACCGTGCAACAGCCGTCTTTTTAAGCTCGACATAAGGCCAAAACCTGTTAGTCAAAGGCGCTTTTTTCTATAACTAATAGAACTAAAAAGTCGTGCTAGTGATAACACTTTTGACAAGTGATCTATCCTGATCCGTTACACTGCGACAACGAGTATTAGAAAAGTCCTCCAAGGAGAGAAGCGATCAGTTGATTCTTTTCTGGCTAAAATTTTGGGACTGCCCTCTTGTTCGCTGTGGAGTAGCTGGCAACCCAACTTACAACCTTTTTCATAATTTGTTAGGGGCGCACCCACCTTCTAACTAGAAATGGACTGGTCCCTCTTATATAAGTCAGCTCTAGAGAGAGGACAGGGAGAGCGTCAGCGGTCCAGATAAGGTTACCCGTTACATACCGTTGGACTATAGACTTTGGATATTGTTTCGTACTAACCAACCTTCGTTTTACTAATCACTCTATTGTTAATTGCTTTTACAAATTTACCAGTATTTTCCCCTACAACTGTGTTTGTCTTGATTCGTAACCTACACGCGGGAAAACTCTCAACATCTCAACATAATTAATATCACAAATGCTAAAGAATATCATATACCAGACTATGTAAACAGGAGTGAAAAGGTAAAACACAAATTACTACCCCACCAAAAAAAGACAAAAAAAAAAAAACACATCACTTCCAGCAGCAGCAACGATTGTAATATTTTTTCAAGATGAAACAAACGAACTAGTTTCACAGGTTTTTAGAATGAATTCTTTAATATGTATTGTCGGATTCTGAATCAGCTTTTCATGAACAATGTTACTCTCAGCGATTGGGTTATTGAACGACAAATTACAAAATTTTAAAAAAAATAAAGAAAACCATTACGCAGTCAGTAAAGAGATTAATGATTTTCCTGTATAATAACGTTTTTTTTTCTCTTGCTGTAAATATTTCAAGAACAAAACAAAACATGGAGATGTTCGTGTATCATGCAGCATTTTTTGTAGAACTGTGACCTTCAGATTCTAAATCATTTTGTTCCATGCAACCTTCTTTGTCTGATCTGTGGTTCCAACCATATTTAAAAAAATAATTGAAGTAAAATAGGAATTGCCATTTTATGAGGGAATAGACACATTATCTGAAATATATCATAAGGTCATACAAAACTTGGAAAAAGACAAAAAAAGTTAAAAAAAAAAAGAAAAACAACCTTTAATAAGAGAATAAATAGCGAGTCGAAAGAGAGATTTTAAATAGATAGGTATATAAATGAACAGATAGAGATATATATGAACGGACTGAGACAAATATGGACAGAATATCGCTATCGATAAAAAGGCAGGATGTGTGTGTGTGTGTGTGTGTGTGTGTGTGTGTGTGTGTGTGTGTGTGTGTGTGTGTGTGTGTGTGTGTGTGTAACGAATGCACGGCCGCAATGTTCGACGGATTTGCACCAAAATTTACATGCACATGCTCCAAGTTAGCGGGAAGGCCAGGACCGACTTTGCATTTCCCAACTCCCATCTGTAGTGTAAATAATCGATTTTTTTCATGCTTCTTCGACAGTTTTCATGTAGTTTTCGGCCATTTCCTACTGGCCAGAGTGAGAGCATTGAGCTGGTTGCCACGAATAGGCAGGAAGATTCTATTAACCAACATGAGAGCCAACAGCTGATTGACACGAATGTTAGCGAGCATGATAGCATGCCAAAAAAAATCGATAGCTGCATTCGTCACAAGTGGGAAAAATTTAAATCTGCATGGCACTTTACTCCAATTGGCTTATTCGCTTGCTTAAACTTAACTTTGATTCTGATTCCACAGAACTGGGTTGGGTGTGAAAAAGTATTTGTTGTTAACATACTTTTTTCATTCAGTTTTTCGAGTCACAAGAAGTAAGGTATGTAGCAACATCAGCACGGCAAAGGGCACTCCTTTAAAGGCAAGGAAGGGAAAAAAAATTAAGTCAAGTGATAGCGATTTGCTGTACGAGTCGTACGATGTTTGAATCAAGCACGGGCAACGCCGGACCATGCTGCTAATATATATATATATATATATATATATATATATATATATATATATATATATATATACAGAGAGAGAGAAAATAACTCACCCACCTCCACATTCTGACCTTACTTTTCTATTTAGCGTTGATCTGATATTTAATTAGTTAATCAAGACATAGCCACAAGTCTATTTTAAATTCTGACCTTATGTTCACCACTTTAACTTTCGGAAAAGAGGTAACACTTTGTTTTTAAATTTCCTTAAAAATCATTTAATCACCAGGCATTTACCATTGCCTGAAGAAGTGCAATTATAATATTGAAGCATGAAAGCTTCTGTGCGGCGATTTCAACATGCTTTTATTATAATCTCTTATAATATATATATATATATATATATATATATATATATATATACGAGGGTCATTCAACAAATAAGGTGAATTTTTCGGTCGTAATACAGATAGAAGCTTACTTTATTTTTTTTCAACGTAGTCTCCCAGCACTGTCACACAATTTTCCCATCTGTGCACAAGCTTCTGTATTCCGCCAGCGTAAAAATCTTTGGATTGATGTCTCAGCCAGTCGCTCACAACACTTTTGACTTCATCGTCACTTTTAAACTTCGTGCCTCTCGTGAACGCTTTTAAGGGACCAAACAAGTGAAAGTCTGAAGGGGCAAGGTCTGGGCTATAAGGGGGCTGCTGTGTGAGGCCTTGCATTGTCATGATGCAAGATGACTCCTTCTGACAGATGACCCCTACGTTTGATCGTTATGTCTTTCTTGACCTGCCTCAGCAGTTCACAGTAGTTGGCACTGTTCACAGTGCTTCATTTCTCAAGGAATGATAACTGACCGCTGTTCAATCCTGGAGCATGCTTCTTGGTCGGCCATTTTTGTTAATCGCCAAAACTCTCAAAGTTTTTTTTTTAATCTGCAAAAGAAATTAAATCCATGTGAAAAGAAGTAAAACAAAAAAAAAAAAAGTAAGCTTCTGTCTGTATTATAAGTCCTTGTACCGAAAAATTCACCTTATTTATTGAATGACCGACGTATATATATATATATATATATATATATATATATGTATAGAAAGAGAGAGAGAATAGATAAATAGATAGAATCTATCGAGGACAATGAAAGCAGGAATAAAAGACAGAAAAGGGATATTTTTTACGGTAATTTTACCTTGAACAAGTTTCTACGAATTGGAAAGGGGTTATCCCTAGGCTTGAACTGGTTAAGATTGTAATGATTAGGAAAACATCCTCTTGGGAGTTGGTTGCACAGGGAAGTGGTCTCCGGGAAGAAGCTGTTTTAGACTGACTTCTCACCGATGGAACACGAAAGGAATGTGGTTGGGGTTTGCTACTATGTAGATGGCATGGGGCTCCTAGCCCTGAAGGTTAAACCTGGTTAGTAGGAAGCACTTTAGTTCGTCCGATCATTTCCCATGGTAGTAGCGATAGGTGAGCGTGGAGATTCGCCACATCCCGCCTGTGATAGAGAGGTTGCGCGGTGAGAAAATATTCGTCACCCAAGAGTCGCTTTTGAACTCTATCGAATCTAGAAAGTGAAGACTGGGCGGCTCCTGTCCAAATATTACATCAGTACTCCATTTTCAGCCTGATCTGTTTCTTTGAAATGTATAGTATAGCATAAGGCCTAGGTATTTTACTGAAGCGTTACAGGGTGCCGACAATTTTCCCTTAATGTTTGGCGATGGATCGTATGCATTACTCCCATCATGACTGGCGGTAGTTCTTGGCCTGAGCGGCGATAATGAAATGTAACTAGTTTGGTTTGGGTTTGCTTTTCGAGGCATTGAATGTAACCAGCCAGTCTTCCATTGGAAAGTCAGTGTTAGATCGGTACCGAGGTACGCTGGCAATCTTGGAACGTCAAAAGTGTGCCCGTATATCGTCGTATCATCGGCATAGATGTTTACAAATGATGTTGAGTATATTTTTTAGGCAGATCATGTAAATCAAAAAGAGGGTTGCAGTGTGGAAAATAATCTGTGACTCACAAATGATTCGGAGACGTTTTTGAGATTGGAAAGTGAAGAAAGGGTAACTTTTTGCCAAAACTTACAACTACTCCATTTTAGGCGAGGTCCTGCTCTTATAAAGTAGGGGATATAGCAGAAGTCAGGTACTTATTGGAACGGTGTAGGGAGCCGATCATTTTACCTGCATCTTTTGCGATAGATCTTATGTATGAGTTCCAATTGAAGTCAGGTGTGAGTTTGAAGCCCAATAGTCTCTCAGGGCACGGTACCTCCCCAAGGGGACATACATTCATCGTGACTGGAGGTAGTTCGGAATCCGATCAGCGATGATGGAATGTAACTTGATTGGTTTTCGAAGCATCGAATGTTATCAACCATTTTTCCTCAATTGGGTAATTAGTGCTACTAACTATACGCCACGTAAGAGGAGTTAGTATATGAATAAAAGAAGATGAAAGGGAAATGTTTAGAATAGATAGAGACAAATAGATGTGAACTATGAACTAATTGAGATAGACATATAGATAGGGAGTGAGGGAGAGAAGGACAGAGGGAGAGAGATAGGCTATCGTGAACAATGAAATTAGGGAAAGTGATAAAAGTAAAAGAAGCGAGAAACAAAAAGAATAGGTAACTAAATAAAATGATGAAGATGTGAAAATTAAGACGTGAATCGATGTGGAAGAAAAAAATTGCACCCCTGCAGGACGGAGGAGGGACAAAGGTAATATAAATATTGCATTTTAAAACTAGATTTCACACAATACAATGTTCAAAAGCGCCTTAAGGTAGATGATCACCGTCGAAATGAAAATGATTAATGAGGCGTTTAAAATGAACGGAATAAAAAACGATAAACAGTAAACATCACGAGGTTAGCCTTGACAGATGACGAGTGAGCTTAAAATGTAGCAGTCGCTATTGAAGACTTCAGGGCAACATCCACAAGGAAACCTCTACCACAAGTAGGTATTTCCTGGATAAAAAGATCTCTTAGAGACACTTCTTTTTTTTGCAATTGTACCGGGTAGGAAAGTAGTATGATTCGACTCTGTGAAAGAAGCAGAGTGTCTCCTAGCAGCAAATTTCTGAAACAACTTGAAACTAAAGAACTGAGCTCATCTGAATATATGCCGTGGAAATAGTAATAGTGTAACGACAGGTGTGACACTTTGCGTCTGTGGAGAAATCTTTTGTAGAGTGGGAAGTAAATAATCACCTTGATGTAATGGAATAGCTGGTCACCCCCATGAGTGACTGCACTATAGGTAGTAAGTACCTATAAAATCAACCGTCTACGAGAGACTAGAGAAGGAGGGTTGTACAAAACGACGCAAGCACGTCCGATCTTCCAATTTGTGGCACTCACTACTAGATTGACTTTTGTGTATAACTGTACCGTATTTCATATTTTACGTGTTGTGTACAATAAACCTTTCTTCTAGTATCCACCTGGTGTTATGTGTTTATTCCCTTAGCACGGAATATAACACACCTGTAAAGCTGCTTAAATGTTTTTGAACTTTATCAACGCCTGAAAGGATGTCTTGGACTGCTCCATGTTATATATTGTAGTAATACACCATTTTAGGTCTAATCTGACTTTAGTGAAGCTAAAACATAATTGCTGGAGCTATATAATGAACCGACCATCTTTTCAGCATCTTTAACAAAGAATTGCATATATGGTTATTTCCACGTCCAGCTCGTGAAAGATTTTTGTCCGGCCCACAACTTTAACACCTTGACACGAATTATTTAATTAATTTCTGGAGCAGGTGGCAGAAAACATATAAGTTGGAGTTAATCAACTTACATGAGACGAATTTTTTTAAATCGAAATATAATTGCGAATCCATTGCTGACTTCTACAAGAAATATGTTTTGCCAAGCGGAAAATGTAAAAGCCTATTGAATGGTATCATTATTTGGAAGTGTATATGCTTGTGAAAAACTTTTTCTAAAATGAAATATACTAAAATCGTTTTTTTCGAAGAAGGTTGGTTGATGACCACCTGAATGATCTTTTGCTTCTGTTGTCGACAATATTTCACCTGATGTGGAGAAGTTATCGACCTATAAGCAGAAACAAATGTCTCATTAAATAATTTGTCATTTTTAACTGTATTTCATTTGCACTATTTACATTATTCGGACTATTGTCCTCATCTTTGTCGCCGCATTTGTTACAACGTTCCGGCCGTTGTATGCTTCGTCCTTCTTTAGGTGTTTGGAATGTCGAACTGAACCCTTTATTTCGCTCACTGGGGTAGACTGTCCTATTTCCACGTGCCATGTTTAATGGATGTCAGTTGTCAGTTATCTCCTGTTAATTCCCCTCTCTAAGTTCTCCACTGCCTTAACCGAGTATTGAACTCACACTCTTTGGGTCCTGTCACTGGATCTAACTTACGCCTTTATCCACTGTACCATGTGTCCTTGAGGAAAACTGTGTATGAATTGACAGATGCTGTATTTCATTTGTGGTAAGGAATTTGCATTTTTTGTTGACTGTGTTTGTTGTTATCCTGTTATACCTGCAATAAAATAAGGAAACTTTTTTTAAATATAACATTAAGTTCGTTGTTTTTTCGTTAAGCCTTGAGACCAAGACAGTCTTCTGGACGTAGAAGTCAGGGGCCGAGACAAATTATTATAGTAAATTTGATATCATGCCCCCCCGCCTCCAAGACACTGCATAGCTTTCTGACCCCCTCACTTCAAAAGGTTACAGACCACTTATCTAAGTCTAGCTTAGATATGGAACAAGGCCGAAAGTTTGGGGCACCTAGTAAGGTTCAAACTCACTTTTCAACCGTAACTGATCTAGCGAGACAAGCTTGCTAACGATTACACCACACCGGGGTACCCCAAAGGATTAAGTATCTGAATTCCTCTTGAGGACCCTAGCGAACGATATATACAAGATGTTAAAAACATAGTACCTGATTGATAATGCTTTTTTTTCATCTCAATAGAAGTAAACTCGACTTTTGTAGTATTGGACGTAAGCATCTTCATGTCATCAGTTCTCAAGTAGGTATTTTTGCAGATGACACTACCATTTACTCCTGTCTCAAAAGCAAATCCAACAAATCTGCCAAAATAAACCTGTCAGCTGCTCTTGTAAAGGATCGTTAATCAGTGGTTAACTGGGACAAGAAATGGCTTGTAAATTTTAACGCCCCCCCCCAAAACAAAAAAGCTTTCATTTAACTAACACAGAGAAACTTAACTGAAGCTTGACTCCGTGTGAGCAACAGAATGCCCCCTCTTGGCCTCGTGTTTTCCACTGACTTGAAGTGGAACAGCTACATTGAATCAACAGCTGAATCTACTGCAAGGAAATTGTGTCGTACCAGAAAATATTTCTCGGCAGAATCAATCTTGCGCATTTACAAATCTACTATTTGCCCGTGCATTGAATGCTTTTGCTAGATCAGATCTGGTGATCCTGATGTACATCTCGAGATTTTTGACAAAATCCAAAGAAGGTTTTGTAATGTAATCGATCCTGGCCAGACATCTCGACTTCAGTGACTTTCTCAGCGACGTAACGTGGTTTCTCTATGTCTTTTCTCCAAGTATTTTCATGAGAACTGATTTGACGAGTTCTTTTTTTTAAACTGAATGTGACCCGACTACATGAATTTAAGCATGCTACTAGATCGACATCAAGGTCCCACAATTTTACAGTTGAAATAATTAAACGAAACTGACACTACTACACCAACATTTTCTTTTCGCGCACTTCCCACTTGTGGCACTCTCTTTCGTTTACATGTCTCCCAGATAACTACAATCTTATAAAATTTAAATGTCATTCGCGATCTTCTTGAATCCCGTTCATTTTTTTTCCTTTCCTCAATCCTAACTATTCTCGGTATTCTCTTTCACTTTCACTTTCACTTTTACATTCACGTTCACTCTCTGTTACAACCCCTCCACCCCCAGGGCACACTAGTGGCATTCTCCGCTTGCTCGGCATGAAATGATTAAAAAGTAGTCATTTTCTTATTGCCCCTTCAGTGTTCGGTCTGACCTAAGTTTTAGATTCTTGTTGTTTTTGGAAGTGCGTCCATAATCAGTAGTATAATCTGTATACTTGCCTAATAATGATTCGAGAATGTTCCTAGGGATATTTATTTTTACAGTGATATCCACCCTGTACTATGCCCTGGAGGCACTCGAGGCAGAGGGTTACGGAATAAGAGGTACACTTTATGCGGTTATGTGTGGAAGAAAACTGTTAACCCTAGACTTGAACAAATTAAGATTGCAGTGATCGGGGAAGCAACATCTTGGGAGTTGGTCACTGGAAAGAAGCTGACGAATTGAATACCGAAATCTAAATATTTAGAATGCATTTTTATGGCTTCAACTGAATATATTTTGCACATAATTTTATACATTTCTTGTAAAGGTATGTTCTTTTTTAGAAATATAGTTTGTAGATCATGGAATCACTTGTTGATAATTTCACTATAAAAATGTATTTTTATATTTTGCATTGATTGTCATTTTGCTATAAGACGTTGCTCATTTTATCATTAAAAAAGTGCTGATTTTGTTTGGGAGTTCACTATCTGCAAATAGCTGGGACCCTAAAATTTGCGACCACATCAAATCATAGGTGACCTGTTATTAAGATGTGATTACCGGTTCTTCAGAACCTCCAATCTCCCGATTAGTGGTCTTACTGTCGGGTGTATTTTATCGCCATACCCAAGTCTGTTTTGTGTTTAAGTCCCAATAGATGCTTAAAGCACAGCTGAGGGATCTTTGTTAAAAAAAAACAGAAAGAGAGTAAGATCAAGGTGGGAGAATGGGAGGATACTAACACTGATCGCACGAATTTCAGAAGTTTTGCCATTCACAAGTACGTTCCTGGAAAATAGATTGGAAATCGAGAGATAAGGAGAAGACGACTGGATTCAGGCGACGGGTGGCTGGAAGGAACTATTTAGGATTGTTTGAGACACAGACGTATTCGTTAGTAATGTGTTTAAAACGCAAGAAGAGACGGAGATATGTCTGACAAAGATAAAAACGTGTGGATTTGCGATAAACAATAGGAAAAGTTGATTGACAGTGAAAGGAAGTTAAAAAAAAAACAATGAAAAGAAATTTCGAGAAGAACTAGAATAAAGTGTGAAGCAGAGATAAGTCACAAGAAAGAGAATTTGTAATGAAGATAAACAAAAGAGAACATTAAAGGCATGTCATTGAATGAACAAGATAATAAAATAAGCGACAGACGGAATGAAACTAGAAATTATTGAAAGGACAACGCAGATTGAATAAGAAAGAAAAGAGGACAAATAAAGCTTCTCTTTTTATGTGGAATTTCTAGTCGTAAGAAAATATGGCTGTCCAAAACTATTTCTCTTTTGTCCGTAACTAAGAAGAAAATAGTGAAAACAGACAGAACTTCAAGAAAACCTACCTATCTATATAATTATTTCATTTGGTTTGTATGTATGTATGTATGTATGTATGAATCGATCTATTTTAATGTGTTTTTTTTTCTTTCTTTCTTTCTTTCTTTCTCACTCTGTTCATACTAACTATCTATCTCACTCTGTCCATATCTATCTATGTATTTATCTATATATTACTGTCGATGGAATTGTC